ACCTGACTTACAGTGTGGGACAATCGTAGAGTGCTTCCACTGACTAGGGGCTGTGCCAGTGAAAGGGAGATATTGAAGAGATTAAGGATGAGTGTGGGGACGTCCGGGCCGCCAGCTTTTCGGAAAAGCGAAGGGATACCGTCAGTGCCTGGGAAACTGGAGTCTATAAGGCGGTCGAGAGACGAAGTTACGTCAGGCAAACTGACAGAGAGTGTGCAGAGGTTGGGGCTTGTCTCGTTAGCAGATGTGGCCACTTCATAACCAGGTGGGGAGCAATAAGTAGATAGAGTCGATTGGGAGGAAACATAGCAGCTAGTGGAGTAGGAGTTTAGGGATTCCACAATGTCAGCAGGGCTAGGGATAGGTTTCCCGTCAGTGGCCACAATATTTGAAACTGCAGATGAATTTGAGAAGCAACGCCGGCAAAAAAGTTGCCCCAGCATCTTAGGCTGTAGAAAATGGGCTACGGCAGTCGATTCCTCACGCATTTCAAGAGCGGGTTTGGCCGTGGTAATATTATTCATAAGTTTGTTGATTGCAACAAGGAGGGAGAGATCATGGGATTCAAGGAATAGCCTACGATACTTCCTGAGTTTATGGCGTGTAACGGGTAGTCGTGTGGCTGGATGACAACCAGAAGCATAGGAAGCTTGTGTGGGAGCAACTAGATATAATGATGATAGTGAGTTGCCGTAAAAGATGTTAGACATGTTTTGCGTGTCAGCAGAGAGAAAGAAGTCGTCCCAGGTTTTATGGCGCAATGAGATTGCAAAAACTTCAACAATGCCCGGGGAAAGGATGAAAGAGCTTAAGGGAGGAAGAGTAGCTGAAGGTAGAGTACTTGTCTAGCTGCAAGTTACAATACAATGATCGCTGTCAGGAAACTTCGAACCAACTGCAGCGGTGGGACACAGATAGCCGTTGACAAGGGCAATGTTCAGGGTGTGGGTGCCGCGTGTTGGCCGCCTTACAAGCTGGGACCATCATTCGACATTAAGTTGGGTAAGCAGCGGCGAAAGGCGCAAAGGGAGTTTTGTTGAGACCAGGCAATCTCAGGAAGGTTGAGATCCCCAACAATTAGTTTGTTCGGATGAGGTAGAGCTTGAGTGTGAGAAAGAAGCGTAGATAGACGATTAATCGAGCTAATGGAGTGTGGAGGGGGCATGTACAAACACCCGAGGATGAGCGGTGGATTAGCCCGAGAGGCAGAAAGCCAAACAATGTCTGGAGTGTCCGCCAGTAGTGGATCGTCAATGGTGGAGACTTCCATATCAGTTCTGGCGTATATGAGGCAGCCACCTCCACGGCGGTGGGAACGATCAGAACGGAAGATAGTGTATCCCGGTAGGGAGATAAGAGCATCAGGTGTGCTAGGAGAGAGCCACGTTTCTGTGATGCAAATGAAGGTTGGACAAGCTATAGTGGAGATAGCTTGGATGTAGTGCAATTTAGGTAAGAGACAGCGGGTGTTGATTAGAACGACAGAAAGATTGCTAGCGGGATCGGGGGAGGTGGGTAATGTGGCTAGCAAGAAGTTGACAAGCCCATGGAGGTCAGTATGGAATGGAGTAGAGACAGGGAAATCGGGGGTTCTCGAATTAGTAGGCGAAGTAGGACCAGGTAAAGATACGTGAGAGCAAGATGATGGGGCGTACCGCGATGGGTACCTAGGTAGCTTTTGGGTGGCAGGGCAGGTAGCGGACAAAGATTAACAGGCTAGGTCGGGCAGTCGTTTGTAATAATGTAATCGACATAGTCAGCAGGTGGTATCGTGTGCGGTAGCTCAACAGAAATGGCGGAATTTGGATCACGCGGGATGGAAGGGCAGGAGAAGTGTTTGAGAGACAGGGGATGAGAGGGTAAGACAGGGGCATCGAGAGGTCAAGTGGATCTGTTTTGTAGAGCCCTCAGCATCGAATCGTGGGGGCGGAGGGAACGGGTAACCAAACTGGGCTGATCGGAGGAGGCGGAATAAGGGGTTTATGGTAAGAGATGCAAGGTGAGGAGAGGGGACATCTGAAAAGGGATCCCAGGCATATAGTACGCAGGTTTCCAGAGGGGCGGAACTTGATACGGTCTAGGATTACGTAGCGGTAGTTGTGGTTTAGAGACCCTGTCAGGGAACTATGTTGCACGGCTAGAGGGGCTACAGATGTGCTTATGAGGAATTACGGGTTAAGTCAGGTTTGTAGAAGGGTGAAGAGCAGGAGCTCAGGGAGTTGGTACAGGAGAAGGGGTTACGGTGCGAGGCTTGGACTGCAGGTGCTCGAGTCCGAGGAAGCTCTTTGGTGGGTAGACACGAATTGCCATTAAGTCAGGAGGTCTAGAATGAGAACCTGTGCCATCATTCTCCACCACAGCCTCATGTGTGGGCTGATTAGTTACCGTATCTCTTAAATCAGCAGTCGATCTCGTTGGCGTGGTGGAGGTCAGAGGTAACATTTGTGGATGCTCAGAGATAGGAGTGGAGGGCTCATGGTCATGAGCGTGGAGTACAGGACCTGGGTCCAACAGACAGCTTTGTGTGGCATTGTGGCACTCGACAGCGCAAGTACCGGTGGGTGACGGGGCAACAGGTTCAGATGACCTTTTGGTAAACCGTCTTTGCGTTCTTGTACGAGCAGCTTTAAGTTTTACGGTTTGGAATTTTTTGGTAGACGAGAGAAGAGTCCGGACTGTTAGCAGACGCGCGGCATCATTTTCATCCCGGAATTGGATTATTGTCGGGAAGCACATGGATTGTTTCGACTTCCGGAGCCGCCGAGCTTTGCATATGGTGTCCTGCATGCCACATGCATTCAGGATGGCAGTTTTGGCATGCTCAAGTGGAATTCGATCGGATGTATTGAATATTAAGACTTAATGCCGGCATTCGATGCGTTGACTAATCTCAGTAGCCAGCTGCCGAACCGACTGGCCGCACAATGCTCTTAGCTGCAAAACCACTGCAAGTAAAACAAACTCTTCACTCAAAAATGTTGCATTTTGTTGCGTTTGTGTTCATACATCATTCTAATCTAAGTTCATATTTCCTCAGCTCACCAAATTTCATCACCCATTGAAGCCATCATGCTCCTGGTATAAAAAGACTGGTGGAATACTTTCCCAGCATTGCTGAAACCCCATGATGCCTAGAGGGGCTAAAACGTTCGAATATGTACACCGAATCCAATTGCCAGTCTCTTTTATTTCATCAGTAACATGTCTTAGCTTTCGAGAATTGAATCCCAGTGTGCGAGTACTGAGCGCCTCAACCTAGTGACCAGAATGTCGTAGGTCTGAAAGCCTCTGAGTTGCGTGAAATGCGCACTCAGTGCTTCTTCGTCTGATTATCGTCAGCATTCAACAGCCACAGGTGAGCTAGCACTCTGAGATTTTACATCCCTACAGTTGCATTCTGCTTTGTTTGAATAGCCCACATGTAGAATAATGTTACCACCCTCACGGGCGATTTTATGAAAACACCTCTTCGAGCCATATAGGGTATGGCTTTGGACACAATACAAAATGTTGAAAATTACATTCGGGATTTGGCCAAGGACCGAAGAAGCAGATTTTCCGAAAATTTCCTTGATTATGACAACCTGAGATCGGGATACGTAACCAGTATGTTGGTCTTCGCATTTGCGAATACCAAGCTGGACAATTTTTCAGAGTTCTCCGAAATATTATCGGTGTCCCGTTGAGGAATGATGCAGAAGAGCTTATTCTTCAAAAATATGGCGTGAACGAAAACAAAGATGTCAACTGGAGGCAATTTGCCCAGGAAATTGAAGGGAAATTTGATGTCAATGATTTTAGTGAACAGCCAGAATGCAAAGTTCTGAAGACAATCGAGTAAGATCATTGTCGAAAGCTGACAGATCTAGATCTTACTATGTGGGTTCCAAGGCACCGCATAAACGTCCTGGTGACGAAAAATACGATAGTCTGAGGCCTATTTTGTCACGCATAAATCAATTCATTGGGTTTCAAGGCTATATCATCCGTGACTGTTACAAACAGTTCGATGTTCACAATGTGGGACTAGTAACAGAAAGCCAGGTAAATGCTTTTTCTTTCAAAGTCTATCCTCTAAGTTCTATCGATCATTTCCCGGACCAACTGATATCAGCGAAGCGGAATTGACAATGCTTGTCGAGCGATATAAATCAAATACGCATCCTGGCTTCGTTGACTATTTGGCTTTTGAGAGGGAACTCAGAGAATTGCAGGCCGCAGAGGGAGTTGCTAAAATGGGCCAACCAACAGATATGAAGGTAAGTATAAAACGTACTCAGCTTGTTTCCTTATCACGGCTGGTCCCGATATAGCTCAGTTGGTAGTGCGCGGACTTACCGAACAGAAGGTTCGGGGTTCAAATCCAACCCCGGTATTCTGACTTCTTCTATCCATGCTAGAGTATCCTGACAGTACGTAAGCCCTCGTGCCTCCTTCAGGTTGCACAGCAGATAGGCACTGGACGGTGTTACAGTGTTATCACTTGTTTCAACTGGCGTGAATATGTTATAGATATTCCAACTAGGAATATGAACACGGCTTGCGAATATAAAAGATCAGTTGTTTGGTTGTTGGTGTGATCGCCGAGCTTGGCAGTTGGATCGCGGTGACAATTGGTGATGAAACGTTTGCAATCCAACTGTCAAGCTCAGCGAACAGACTAACAACCAAGCATTGCACCCGAGCTACCTACATTCCACAACATTGCCAGATTGGTTGTTACAACTTTTTACAATTGACCCGCTTCAGCTGCAGTAAAACTTTTCTTGTGTATTGCGCCTCATTGTTGCACTCCCATACGGATAATAACAGAATGTGATCAGTCTCTGCCGGCACTCCTTATGAATGACAACACGTCCAGTCACCTTCCTTCACTGTGGAGGAAGACGAGATATGGATATAGGCGACGCTTAGTTTCGAATCGCTCTTGCAAGTCACGTAACCATACCATACAGATCTCTGCATTTTTTCATCGTACCTGTCTAAACCACATCCGCCGGCAAATCTTTCAAAAGACTGACTTCCATTGAAGAGGGTAAAATGTATAACCGTTCGTTATGGAAATGAGAAAGAGTAAAAGTAACCGTAAGTTAAATGAGATATGCAAATAGCAGTGAGCTAGTTGGTTTGGTTACTGATCAGAGTAGGCATGTATTCCAGTATGAACTTGCGTGCTAATGACCAGATCCTGACTGTACAGGTTTGCGCCTTTTAGAGTAAGAATTATTTGAGTTTAGATGGCTGCAATACGTAAAGGATACGGAAGAAGGTTCTAACTTTAGGAATACCAAGATTCTTGGAAGTTGTAAGTCATCCTTGGGTGGAAGAAACAACGCTTAATTTCACATGAAAAACCCGTCAAATTTATTGGTAGAAAATATGATGCACTAATACATAAAGCTTAAATTTTCAAAACGTTTTGAGATTAGGACGGTACAATATGTGGTCTAGATTACTTTGAAAATTTTTTGACAAAGTATTCGATGCAACAAGCATGCTCAATGGATATGCCGTCATTGAGCTCGTTCGTCTTTTGGAAATCTCCTTAAACGCGCATTTTTATTTACTCTTTTCTTGTGGCTTTCATATGCTGAAAAAGTTACATAAAATGAATTCACAGACCCCAAAAGCAACAATAAACCCAAGTACGTGTATGTATGTTGAGTAATCAGAAACACAACACCCAGTTAATTACATATAAATCTCAGCAACCAGCTTTGGGCTGTTAGCACTACAACGCCACTTTTGTACTTCAGCTATTCCGAAACAGTCTGAAAAAGGGCCATCAGAAAACACAAAGACCTTAAACTCTTAGTTATGACTGTCCAACAATAATACGTACTGCTCTGGAAAACATTTTACGATGAGGAAGTGAAAATGTGGCAGAAGTCGCGCTGGGTGAGGGATCGAATAACTGTTTCTGAGAGCCCATTTAATTGACGCGCCTTTCTTTTGCCTACCGGAGATTCTCACTAAGTCCCTCCTCCGTCCATCTTTACTACTTTCTTTACAATAAGGCTTTCAAATAAGTCATATTTGTATGACAGTGGAGCATAGGTGTTGAACACTGATGTCATGCTGTCGACGATGATGATGGCTAGAGATTCTCGTCTTTTTGCGGTTGATCTCTGATCCCCAGCTGATACTGGATTAGTGTTGTTACACTGCTAATTTCCAGGTGAAAACACTTTGAAAGGTCGTTTTTTTCATCAAAAACGCCACGACTAAAGATGAACGTCGAGAAAGCTGCAGGAAAAGACAGTTTTTTGGCACTGTCCTGAATACTGGAAGCAATATGGCTGAAAAAAGCACAATGGCAACGCCTCTAGAAATAGCATACCCATGTTGCAAGGGGGCCCCGGCATGCCTCACGCTTTGCAACACTATGAATGCAACACAGTATGCAAAGCAAACAAAACAATAGGAATCAAGCTGTTTTGCTCTAGAATTACCTGAATCTGGATCAGAAATCCCCTGAAATACCTGTTTCTTTTGCATTGTTTTATTTAATTTGCAGGATGCGCAATTCAATGCCAACCCTACATATAGGTTTATGTTCGCCAACTACGCTGACCATCGCTTTAGGTTAAGTTGTCTCATCTAAAACCAACAACATCAATACCTTTCTTTAATCAGACTCCTCGCTATTCGATGAAGTGTCAAAGCTCTTTTCAGTAAAATAGCAGAACCAAACAAAAAACAACTATTAGCTCACTATACTATCATCCGTGTCACCAAATGCAGACTATTACTAGGACTCCGAGGCATACAGCCCTCCGATTTATGTTCCCTAGTTGCGAATTACACACCGACCAGAGGATTTGCATTATTTTACACTGTCAAAATTTACCTTTTTGCTCAAAGGAATCCCTTACTTTTATTGTTGTCGATGGGCCTTCTTATAAACTGTACCTGGTAAACGATTGTTTATACCTCACAGACATCATCTGTCTTTCCCTTGATTCTTTCATCAAAGTCAGTGGTTCGCTTACGTCTACCAATGCCCACATTGTGTCAATGGGAATTTCGCGTTTCAATTTTTACATCACACCGTAATCCGGTACACAAGCTCTCTGAGATTTGGGGGTACATCGCTTTAGCGCCAAAGGTGTCTCAAATTAGTAACTGTGACCGAAAATTCGCAGATTCGTGCGCCAACCTCATATGTCACACTACCATGGGAACTAAAACAAATTACAAGATACACGAAGCGTTTCGAAACTTCCTCCCTCTTCCTGAATTATATGTAACGGTATGTCTAGGAGCATGACCTTAGACTTTGTGGGTGCAAAGCGCGTGCCAAAAGACGGAATGTCTTTGGTAAGTTCGTCCAAGAACACCTGCTCCCTGTTTCTTCCTTCAAAGACGAGAACGATGCCTTCTGTACATTCGAAGTCCATGGGGTTTTTGTCAGCGGCTATTTGGATCCTTGGTAATTTTGCTCGCAGTAAGTTTTCGGAGAAAACTCGCACGGATCAATCGAACTAAACTTTGAGGTTTCTTGGTTTTCTTAACCTCTTCTACTTCCACGGATTTTTGAATGCACCATACTTCAGGGTTGGCGCACACTCTTAGCTTCATTTGAGGTCGACAGGGTTTCCATCAGCGGCCATTTAGACACCGGTGCTTTGGAGACCTTCCAGAGTTCGTATTACTGTCTCGTTGATCACGAAATTAAATAGAAGTAAAGACAACGGACGGTGCTTACGAACATCACTTTGTGTAAAAATGCTTTTGGGGTGCTTTCCGTATAATCTCGCACGCTAGGAAGTATGAGAATACCAAGAACTTATTATGTTCACAACTTTCCGGGACATCTCTTGATAAACAAGCGGACTAAGAAGAACGGACCGGTCAGCTAAATTGAATGCGCGTTGGAAATCCAGGAATACGAAAATTGTGGCGTCGTTCTAGCACCTGACGGAGTGTGAAGATTTCGTCAATGCGACTCCTACCTGACCGGAATTTTGCTTGATAATGTTGAGTCCTTGTTTCGCGAGCTGCCGTAGGGCGACGAAGGAACAATAATGTCAACAGTCAAATTGCCCCTCATATGATTATCTACACACTGCTAGCCTCTTTTCTGAAGGTAGGCACCATCATCGACTCTTTTTAGTTGCATTGGACAGTCCGCTTTTACCACTTGCAGGAAAAATACCATGCAAGAGCTGACTCAATACTCAGCTCTAATCTAGGTCCATTTTCATCCAGCCGAGAATTTAAAACTTCTGTAGACACCTCTTATAATAACGATTGGTTGGTGGTTGTCAACAGCTGTTTCAAGTATTGTCTTTCAGTTTTGATCGGTAAGCCTGCCGGGTTCCTGAAAATAGCAAACTTATAACCGAAGTACGCATAACAAAAAGTTGAGTGTAGTGACTCAGAACCATTTAGATTTCTAATTACATGATAAAACCCGAAAAAACATGCAAGACTTTTGATATTGGCAGACCCAGCTGGATCTGACGCGACGTTAACTGATCAGAGTGCTTGCGGTAAATCAAAAAGGAAGCAGTACGTTTTTATATGGTTTTCCATATTTACCACAAATGTTTTCTGAAAATTGTTGTTAGAAAGTACCGAATTGCACGCTGTTTTTGTGATGTGTCAAATTAGATACTGAGATCAAAAACGCCTTCAAGCTTTGTAAACTATCTGATGATGATGAAGCCATCTGAATGAGGACGCATTTTTTCATTCCACATGAGAAACGTAAATCTGTTGCTTGTTTGTTCACCACTGTTTCTGCAGGAAGGTATTTGTATACCTGAGCCAAAAGAAGATTTTTTGCGTCCCTCGGTTGAATTAATTATTGACCGGATTCGGTTTGCGATTCATCGCCGGGGTGTGCGTGTCATGGATTTCTTTGTGGATTACGATAAGCTACGGCATGATGCGGTCACAGAAAATCAGTTTGTTTGTGCTCTTATGATGGCGATTGCCAAAGAAGCTCAACTGAGCCGCGAGGAAGTGCAGATGCTGGCCAATTGCTATAGAAAGCATTCAAACCCAAGAATGATTGCCTATCGTGAATTTTGTCGACAAGTTGATGCACGTAAGTGGAAAAAGCTTACAGATTTTTGCTCGTTATTGTAATTTCACTTTCATCGTGAATCACTTTTAAGTAGGCAGTTCACTGGAATTCTCATAATTGTCCTTAATCATAATCTGAAAGCACTTGTATATCTGATTGTCTGGATTATAAATTAGTAGGGATCGCCTTAAGAGAAAAAATGCACGACGAGCCCAAAAATATAAATTTTATGACCACTTGCATTGTAGCGAGTAGAAATGAAAACTTGTAGCCTGATAATCATCGAAAGTAAGGTTTTAGTGTACGTCCGCATTCAGCCAAATATCTCAGAGTTTTGAACAAAGCCCAAATATAAAACACATGATCTAGACTTCTCAATTTGTTCACTTCATTCATGCTGCGATATGAAAATTTTTGGTGCTGAGGTTGGTACTGCAATCTAGCTTGCGGTATTCATTAGTCTGACATTTTACAAGTGATGTGTGTCTTTTAGGTTCGATTTGACCACTTATTAAGATGAGCATCTTTTTATCGTACATCTTTCTCTGTTCATCCGTACGTCTTGAATTACTCTTGTCTAGGGTCTAGTTCTCTGGTACCTTACTGAACTCTGAAACAACTCACAAAAAGCCATAAGTCCATCCACTTAGATCAATTCCATCCTGCCTTTAGCCTTGACTTTCAACAACGGTGGCAGCCACTTTGGTAAACTACGGGGGTCGAATTAGCGGACTATTCCTGGACAGGCTGACTTATCAGTGGCTATATAATTGCACTGTCGCTGTGTTAGTTGTACACGCTGCCTAGATGGCCATATGATGAACTCCATTTGGCCCGCCCAATGCAATGACTGATTTAACCGTCTATTTGTTTGCATTATGAGATCCTGAGTATGTGGCCTCAAGGATTCCTACAGAAGCATTCACTTGAATTCATAATGCTACAGTGGCTATATTTTTGACAGCAAAAGCCTTAGCGTCTCAGGTTACAGGTGAAATTTCTAAAGCTAAACGTTTGGTTGCTTGAAACCCACCCAAAGTGATATAAACTTTAGCAGGCAGATGTGAGCTCACAATGCTTGTTGTGTTGTCTCATAAATTACATGGAGAAACACTGCCCTAAATACACGAAAGCTTACCTGCGCAGCTACCCACCCTACCTCCTCGAATCATCGGTAAACGAAACTGTGTCAGCTACAACCACTACAAGTACGCGATTATTACAGCTGACAATGATGATGATGATGTGCTGTAACGTCGGGACGGCAATCGGTTACACCCAAATCAAACCTATCAGATAAAGATAAAACAGAAGACCAAACACATGGTTGTAGTGTCGGTTCAAACACACGGAGTTAGTATGTGAATATTAAGGGTAGTTGACTGGCCAATTATGGTGACTTTTTTGTTCTTTCCTGTCTAGCTAACGGCGACATTCTTGTCCTGACCATTTTCACACCTAGCTCCGCTGATCGCCTGTTACAAAGCTGTGTTTGGTATGTTCCGGTCACGCACCTGTCATCCGCATTGTATGGTGACAGATTTATTTATTTCCATAAGCACTCTGAGAACTTAAACCTGAGTCTAATTTTTAGCACAAAACCAAATTCAACTAAGGAAAAGCTGTCATCTTGCGACTGTCACATGAAATTGGGAAGTAGCCACTTTTTCGAGATGATTGTCAATAGCGTCCTTGTGAATTATTCTTTGGCGCACTGTAGGGCAATACTCACTAATAATGCCCCACCACTATTTAACCGAGCAAGTGTTCTGTGTACAGATGAAAATGATCGACAACAAACTTAAATTAAAATAAAAGCAGACTTCATGATAGTGGTTATACAGCTAGTTTGATTAGGCATCGAGCTAAACCAGGCCTGAAAGAAAGGCATTTGGGACAGTCTACATGCCACAAACGTCAGAAAAAATGAAAGAGATGTAGGGCTTAACTTAACTAGCGTAATCGGGCAATCGGCTGTCATGGACAGAACCCTACTGTTTGCAAAACATCAAACTAAAGTGACTGCACCAAGATCTGCTCTATACAGTAGTCAGAGGATCGGTAGGCACATGATGGAGAATGACAAAGTACTAAGAAGTGCAGATGAACATTCAGAACCGATTAAAAATCTAGCGATAACGGTGGAAACCGAGCCAAGAGGAATGTGTGGGCTGGTAGTTTTGAAACATTAGCCACAATGCAACTTACAGGAACTGATAGCGAAAGCGATGGAAGCCACCTAAATTTGAACAGAACGGACGGTTCATGACCAGCAAGCATGCGGACAGTGGTTGCATATCAGCTAAGTTGATGCGTCTTGGCGAATACTCCTCACTGTTTAAGGTACGAGTTGTCGTAGCACCCATTAACGATACATTTCCAACACAAAACCAAACCGGCATTAACAAATGAAGGACTTTGACCCAGCACTCAGCGGTGCTTTAATAGGCTGGTTGGTATAGTTTTAGGTTCAATGTTTCCTCCTGTCAGCTTAGTCAGGTGGCCCGAAAAAGTAACACTCCGTCCAGCGATAAATCCATTCATCATGTAAAAGAGTTTTTTTCTGAAGACTGTTGGAGAGCTACTACGCTCTCCGCCAGTGATTCCAACACTGAGGTTAGCTATCCGTACTGAGTGAGTGACTTCACATTTGGTACAAAGATCGAATTGAGTTAGCTCATTCAGACTCTACGTTTTTGTTATCGCTAATCAGCCACCAGTTTTAATGAACGTAAACAGCTTCATAAAATAAGGCCCTGTATAGGAGGCCACCGAATGATTAATCTGGTCAGTCACCAGCATAATAATGTGAACTCTCTTCCTATGCATAATTTCTATGACTGAAATGGGGATTAAACCTTCCCCCAGCAGACATACCAGTTTGCAACAACCAATCAAACACGAACAGATTTGTGGGTCCGCTATCTGCTCTAAACTGTCCGTCAGATGACGGGCATTTGAAACCGAGGACACCTTTGGTACAATATTCCACAGGATACCAAACTGCCAGTTCTTTTTATTCTAACTTAATGTTCCACAATGTTTGACAGTTGCTTTCGTCATACTTTCCAGCCTTTCACACGTTGCATCTCGAAAAGGACCCACTGAAACAACCAAATATGCCCAAAACTGGCGAGCTAACCAGAGTAAGTAGGCTGGGAAAGCAGGGCATAACAAATTTTTTCACGTACCTACTAAAAATAAACGCAGTCAACTGAGAGCCGATGGAAGAAAAAGATTTTCTTGGAAGAACTTGTTAGAGAATCATATGTTGGTATATTGCATTGCACTGAACCCATTTCTTCGATATTCTTTTACCAGAGGTTATTATCATTATTGTTATTAATTTTAACCATTAACTCTAGAAAAAGCTAAGTCTGACGAATAGACGAATAAATAAATAAATAAATACCGTGTAACGAGTGCTTCTCTCATACAACGCACGATCGACACAGAGGACGTAAAACGAGCAGGGAAATGAATAGCTTATTCTACTGTGAATCACTGGCAGGTAAAACCACAATACCGGAACATGCTTCTAACAATATTCATAGATTCAGAACTCTCTGATAGCCTGATTATTGACAGGCCAAATTTTCTAGGCTGGTGGTAAACTTTAATCCCAGCGGTAATGTCTTATCATTGTAATCCATCGTCATCCCCATCAACAACAATATCACCGTCATCCTCGTCTTTACCCATCAAAGAAGCAGAAGCAAACGAAATATTGTTCTAAGCCGATCCCCCATATATACTTTATACAGTTAGCTCTGGAACCCGGAAAGTGTTCAGCAGTGTTCAAAAGCAAATCGAGTTCTTATGATGAACAGACAACTATGAGTTTCTTCTAGATTTATTAAGCACAAAAATCGTGGTGTTCCAGGGTGTAGCAACTTTGACCACAGAAGAGGAACAACGGGTTTCAAGAATCCTCGACGACCTTCGAGCGAAAGTAGAGAAGCGGCGCATTATGACTTATCCGTATTTTCGAGACTATGACTTGGTAAGTTTGGCCACCTCACACCAGGTAAGTAGTAGTATCATTTTGTGTCTGTTCAACGTAGTATGTTCCTCAATGTATGCCTTGCTTCCTTGGCCCTAATTTTTCCACCTAGGCAACGGATACGACGGTTTTAATTAGATAGAATCCACCAGGCCTCTGCCACATCGGTCATAGCTTGAAACGAATGACGCTCCCTAAGATACTCAAACGCGAAACGGAAACCAACACTTCGGCTTAACTCTTCTGTTGCAAACCTTAGTGTAGGAGAATATTTGTTGGCCTAAGTTTTGTGTATCCCTTGCCTGAAATTTCTACAACTGTGGGATAACCACGACACCATGTTTCATTATCGTTGTCACACAAAGCTTGCTGATTTTTTAAAATTTGGATGAATAGAAGAAAATTCATGAACTCAACTCGCTGTCAATCTAGTCTAAGAGGTTTCCTTCAGGATTGGGAACTCACAGGAGTGAAACAAAGAATGTTTTAAGGTGCTCAAGAATACCGATAATCAGCTTGCTCAGACACAAGATCATATGGTTATTAAAATTACCTTTATGAATATGGGGAGTTGAAAGCTTCGTAGCATCCTACCACTTCCAACTTTACTACTAATTAGGACCTAAGTATCCGACTATCCACCAGTAGATAGATTTTTAGCTTGTTACATCAGGCTCCTAAAAGACTAGCTGCACGATAAACGTCATCAACCATTGAAGATGTCCAGGCCGCACGGTGGTTCCATATGCTGATTCAATTAGAACTTGAAATGAGGATAGCCACACAAAAAACTGTGCCACCGCTACGTTTCCTTCAGGATGTTTCAGTATTTTTATTTCTTTCGTTGTTTTGTACAATGATCCTCATCCTTGAGTGTGTGGCTGACTTTCCAGGAGTGACAAATCCAATTTTTTTACCAGAACAGAATCAGATATTGCCCATTTTCAGCGTCTGAAAAAGAGATGATTTCATTGGTGGTGAATTGAAAGGTTCACTGATAATTGAATTCCGCCTTTGTTACGAGGAAGACTTCAGACCAGTTTTCTCACTTACTTGGCCGAGTAGCATTGAGGCCTAACATGAATATTTGTCAAATAGGTTGAAACGATCAGATTTGGTTTCAGTCGTCCAAGGACTTCGGTCGAAAGCAAGCTTTTCTAATGACAGATTGGTATCATTAATGTTCTTGATTACCAAGCTGATCATGGTGAAACATTGTGTTCTGGAATATTGTATTTTCTGATGTAGGTCGTTGCGTGTGACGCCTTTCCAACGAAATGTCGCACAAGAAGCTCGTTGAACTACTGTAGTCAAGAGTTTATTAAAACGAAAAGTGACCAACAGGGTTTGCTTAGCGGCTTCATTTCAACGTATCGAGACGATTCAGCAGGGTAATTCTTGTCTATAAGCTATCATAGGCCAAACAAACTATGACCGTTTAACCCAGAGATTTTATAGGTGTCTGCGTTCTCATCTATTCTTCCTCCTCTCCCAGAGAACCTATTTTTAATATGCTGTAATGTATCACTGTTTACAGGGTACTGGGGTCACGAGAATTGTCAGTGACACACAGTTTGGACGTGTTCTACACTTCCTCGGCCTAACCGTTTCACCGGAAGATTGTCGCTTGTTGTGCCGGAAATTCGCTGAACCTACCACCGGTAAAGTCAATTATACTCTTTTCTGTCAAGCGATAGACAGATGGTCTGTGCCTGGGGAAATCCTGAAGCCAGACGACACTAGCGCTTACTGTGTGGAGCAAGAAAACATAAACTTTGGCGTAGTGATTGGGGACAGCAAATCAGGCAAGAAAGTCAGTCGCCGCGATTGGCTCTCTACAGTTGAGCCGCGCATCAGCTCTGTCGGAGATCATTGGCCAGTAGAAGTACTCCTTGACCGTATTCGACACCTAGTCCTAATAAATCGTATTGGACTAAAGCCTTGGTTTCACGATTTTGATCAACTGCGGAGTGGATACATGACACGTTCACAATTTGCTCGCTGTCTGACCGCGGCAGGAATAATGCGATTGGACCTACATGACTTGACTCCAACACAACTGAACACATTAGCGGACCGATACGTATCACCAAATGACTCTAACATGGTCAACTGGACTAAATTTGTCGAGGACGTGGAAACGGGTAGGTTTCTGCGTGGATCATGTTTGAGCTGACAGTTTAGTTTGAGCTATATTTGCAAGTATTGGTAGCTCGGGTGCTTTTCTCGGCCGTATATCAAATCTAACCTGTTCAACAGCCACTGAGTGGGCTGGTTGTAGTCACACGCCGAATGGGACAAAAGTGGGAATCGTCTCACGTCTAATTAAGGCTAGGAAAGTGAATTTAATAGTCCGTTGTCTGTAAATTATATTAAATGGTTCCGAATACATTATAACAAAGGAATCTTTGTCCATGGCATACTAGAGTAGATACTCGAAATCTATTTCAGCGAGTAGAATCGCATGGTTAATGGAAGTAAATATAAATAGGGGACTAATGACGCTGTGATTTATTATGCTGGTACCACTGGTCTCATTGTGTTCGTAGACAAATTTTCATACAGCTTGACAGTCTACCGGTATTGGGGATGCAGGATTCGAAAGTGCTGAAAATAAAAATAGAACACCAAAGCAGAATCAACTCATTTGCGGAAGGAAGCTTAGATAACAAAACAACACCGGTGAAATTATGGGGACAATATTATTCAGGATGCAAGGCAGAAGTAATGGCAGTTCGAAACAAATGCGCTATGGTAGAACTTTTGAATGGGATAAGACATTTTCGCGGAAAGTTCAATTATCACGTTAATTAGGAAATATCATAGATGCACAACGGAAGTAACCAGTGGAGCTAAGCCTGGCTAAGTTTAAGCTAACCAGTTGTACCCTCAGAATGTTGAACAAAGATGGTCCTTGGTGGAAGGCTTCAAGGTCAAAAGTGCAAAAAATTTCCGGTCTTTTTTTCGGTTCAGCCCTTTGCGCATAATCCAGTGTCGAAGTTCGAAGGTCCGGATTAAAGTAATCTTCTCAAGGAAGAGGTTCACTATTCCCGAAGAAAAAACTAGAGGAAATCGCAAGCGTCCAAACTCTTGAGTTGACGTGCTCCATGTAATACTTACAGGTCACCAGCGTTAAGATAGCTGAAAGCGCAGAGCGCATTCCTATGTAGAATGAACTGACTGGTTTAAAGTGGATTTTGCGGAAAATGATAACGCCTCATCTCAAGCGTGCCTTGGTTTGAGATAAGGGACGGTAGCAGCGGTTGGTGAACGATAATGTATCGAATGACATTGTATAGATTAGTAAAGGCTAGCTTATGTACGTTATACAACGTACTTCTCTGTTCTATTAGATTACAGCATTTCAGAGACCGCTATTGTAGTAACCACTCTTTGGATTCGCAGGCAACAAATGCCTTGGAAAATGAGACTAAAGAAATTGGAAAGAGCACGCAGTACTTCTGGATCACATTAACATCGGGATGTATTTGGTCGTATCTCGTCAGATATGTGCAGCTAATGAAAATGCTATACACCGAGAAAAGAGCTTACCTTCAATAAATAGGTTTGCAAATTAACGAGGCAGTGTCGGCCGAGCGAACAGTTTCAGTGTTCAGTTCGGGATGACAGCTGAATATGTGACCTGTCTACTCGGCATATGAAGTGGAATTTTGAATAGTCTTCTTAATCATAGCGTCTGACCTCTAGCAAATGTCGGGAACTGGACAGCAGAGATGGAGGTTGGCTGGGTGACCTCTGGCGTTGGTGCTTCCCTCAATCTAAGGTGCTTTACCCGTCTTGAATGCACCGTACAATTTCCCGTTCATCCAATCCGCGTGTTGAATTTTCGCACGAATAAGCAGACGCACGCACCAGCCTGTGTTTGGTGCGCGCACCATTATGTGGGAAGCTGTGGTTGGTCCAATGCCTTGGATTCTGTGGGCGTGTGACAGACAGGCACAAATTAGGAGTTCCACTCTCGCGTCCTTCCGGCGCGAGAACTCGTGGGTGAAACCGAGTCAGGCAGACATGAATCGTGCTTAACCGGCTGAGCTGAAATGGGCTGAATGTCGACGGAGGCGGTGCAACCTGACCAACCGAGCGATCGACAGTTCCATTCGGCCTTCGTTGATCGTGAGGACACAACAGCGAGCTGTTTGCTCCCCCCTATAGCTCCGGTGGGATGTAAAATTCCACCGGAAACTGCAGGCTCGTGAAGGTAGCGTGGATCAAACAACGGGGAGAATTATCAGTTAGGCCACAGCTGTTAACTGGTAAATGCACTTGCTCAGCTACCGTTAGTTGAAGTTGTCATTCACCTCAGGCTGTGTAGATCGCCAAGCACCCACAATTGAAACGATGACCTACCCGGTTTATGGACAGATGTGAAGAAATTTTGACTGGGAGACACGGAGTGGACTTAGAAGCGTAGTACAGGATTGATCTTGCGGGGTACTAAGTGTATTTTACTAGTCTTGAGGCGAGGTTCAACCAAAGCACTGATGTCATCCCAACTATAAATAGTAGTGAGAGCGCACTATCAGTTTGAGGGTGTTCAGTCTGGAGCTTGTACACAAAGTGAAAAATATTCCCCCCGGGGACCTATGAGTATGCCATTCCGGCTGGCTCATGCAGAATCTATATCATTGGTTTTTTAGCACACAACTGGTTTGTTGTGTGTGTACTGAGCAATCAAAGTGTAATTATCAGTGGCAGACCTGCATATTTTTTCCTTCGTTTTCCTTGTCGACTCACTCAGCTGTACGAATTTGATTTGTCCAAGACATTCTGTAACCTTCTGTTGCTGCATCTTAGTCACTCTTGAGAAAGCTAAACTAAGTGTGGTTGGCGTCACTGATTGAACTACAGTTCGAGTGAGATGCTTCCAACTTAATTTTTAGCAGACTCATCGTGTGGAAAGGAAGTAAGCCATACCGCCTAAATCCCACTTATCAAGATGGTCCTGGAGTAAAACTTTTTACAGAGGGTGAAGTAGCCTTACTGTCTGTCTTCAAAGTGTAGCTGGATTTGACATTCATTATTAAAGGCATGGGAGTCACTTGTTTGTTATCGATTTTTGGATTAAATTCAGAGAATATCACTCCTTTTGTTGAAAAAATTAATATGATTGTTTGTAAGGAGTTTTCACCTCTCCCGTAGTAATAATTAACTTTAGGTAAGTTCTGCATAAACGTCTGTGTTACTCACCTAACAGAGACCTGACTCATTCCGCAAACTTCCTTGTACTTGCCTTGGCATAAATCACGACGGTTGTGCCATTCAACGAGCTTCTTTGTTTGCTCAGCATCAGCAGATAACACACAGTGGAACATATCGGTGCAAGGGTTAGTTTTGAAGCCTGTATTTTCCACCAAATGAGGGCTGCCAGTTTTCCAGTTCACACACTTGAATAGTGATCTTGCTAGTTGGGAATACTGTGTGTTGTACACCTGACCTGCTCATGTATAGTGAAAGCGGAAACATGCAACACTTACCAGAAAGGTAGTTTCACTAGTGGCCCTGGAACTATACTATGGAGCATTCAGAACCCCTAGTCACTTTTATAGCACCCAACTGTTGTGCACACTCTGGACCTCAGAGTTGTATACTGTGTAGTGGTGTCTCTTAAAGGAATCACATACAAAATCGACTTGCATTATTTCCTCAGTGCGACAAAATGCCACAAAAACGAGGAAATTGCATAACACATGCAACCATAGTTTAGATGTGGTACAGTAAGCCCATGATGCCTGAGATCCTGATGATGAAACGGGGAAGCAATTTAGTGCTGTTGGCAGCAACATTCACACCAATGGCTTGTCCTAACGTTTCGTTGGTGACTCCTACTGGTCTGGCAGTGACACATATGCAGTCCAGCGAACAAGTCAAAGGTAACCATTTGAATTTGAGACCAGAGCTGCTGTCATTGATTGGATTGCACAGACATTTGGGTGATCAAGAACTGATAAATGCACGTTCTCAATAGAGATTCCTCAATAAGTAAGACGAAACCTCATTCTTGTGGTGATTCCCTCATTATGAGAAGAGTCAATTTTTGTCAGACATTCGTGGGGTACTGGTCTAATCTTTGTACCTTCCTCAATTTTTTAACGCCAACCAAGTGTTTACGATACCCGAACTGGAGAAACAACCGCTTACGCGCGTTCTTCCGCAGGAGACCTTTGTTCAGCCCAAACCAGGCACGGCCGACTGGAGTACAGCTACAACCGAAATGCGTGAGAATTACGAGGACAGCATGTCAAAATTACGTCGTAAAATTCACGAACGTCGTATGCTGTTATTGCCAGACTTTCTGGCATTTGACAAGTGAGTGTGAACTCTTATCTACACCAATGATACTTGACTAGTAGCTGCCAAGCCATACTTCTCATTAATGTTGCTGTCTTCTCAAAATTTACGCTTGGGCTATCTGATAGTGTCTCAGCCCTCGGCACTTAAACACGCAAAAAGCTGAATGATAACTATTATTTTTTATTATTATGAATGGACAAACGGGCAAATGCTCAACAAGATGGAGAAGTTCGGTGTGCGCAGATCTATGGTTATCGTGTGCGACTAGACCTCAGTATGCTACTGGAGAATATTAAGGCGTTACTGAAGATGATAATCAGTGAACAGTGGTGTGTAATAGCTTTTGACACCAAGTTTGGGTGGTATGACTGACACAGCTAGGCCTATCACTATACTTCCAAGAAGGACCGGGTGTCGTGCCTGACGCACAAGGAAGCTTCACTAGAATGCGCAGTTTAGGACCTACTCTATACTGGGGTTGTTGACAATTTCAACTTGCAACATCAATTATTGCCAAGTGGTATGGTATGGTTCATTTCTAATAAAAGTTGCATTATTCATTTCGGGCACGAAGCACACAAATTTGCGTGCACAGGAGAACTTCGGATGGTAGACAGCGCCCAACAATGGAAAATCATGAGTTGAATGACGTGATACAAGAGGGGAATTTTCATCCTCGTAAGGGAGACATTTGTGACACTCCCAAACACAGCGTTAGACCCTACTGTGCTCATATATGGTCACAGTCAGAAGGTTACCCCTTGGAGTATGTCTCCGATTGGTCCCATATTGCAGTGTTATATCTGCTGATTCGCCGGCCTGTGGTATCTGCTGCTGACCCGCTCCAGTGCCTAGTGTCGGAGAGAAAAAGGCTCACGGAAGGGAACACAATAGCTATATTCCAACAAAGTGGTTGCGAGAGCGCGAGTGCGTGCGAGTGCGAAAAGTACAACGGCCTCAAGCTTTTTATTGGAAGGACACTGTCTGAACTTGGTCCAGTGCTGACGCACGCGGTCTGGCTTTGGTACAAGGCAGCGACGTGCTGCATATTGCGGAGGTGTTGTCTGTCCTTGACCAACGCTGACTCGCGCTGTCTGGGTTTGATGCAAGGCTGTGACGCGCTGCATATTGAGGGGGCGTTGTGTGTCTGGTCAACACCCAGCGGAGCTGAGAGTCACCGTAGATTCCGGGCATTCAGTGGTTGCTTTCAGGAAGCTGACCTTCCTGATATGCAGGTCTGTTTTCAGAGAAGTAGTATTTTTGGCCTGGGTTAAGCAATTCTATTCCCACTTGTCAGTAACTACCATAATTGTCTCCACTGAGCTGACACAGTCCAGACATTCTCGGAACGTGATCTGCACAAGCTCAAACCATTTGTTACGTTTGCGATATCAAAAACACGAACGGTACGTCAATGTTGTTCAAATTGAAGCTCGAGCATCTGATAGAATACAAACATAGCGAATGATTAGCTGCTCTGAAACAAAACGGCATATGCGGTTTTCTTTTGATTTTCAGCTACGAAGCAACGTACGAATTGAGTCTGTACCATCACAGTTACACCATGAAGGAGGGGCTAAGATTTTCGTTTCTGAATTATGAACGCATCTCTACAAATATTCGGTAAAGCTGGATACTTCAGATGCTTAAGAACTGCTTTGTAACAGTGACGAATTCGCTCAGTGAAGTTATTATGGATACAGTAAACAGGATTAAGCGAATACTAGTTTCTTTTGCATTAATGCAGTGGTCATGATTAAGATGAATCGATAATTAGGACGATAACTAAGACGAGCTCAGTAACTACCAAGCTGAAGAAGATACGAAGAACATCAATCTCGGGAAATATTCTGAAGTCTGACCGACAAACAAACATCACGTGACCGCCGACCTCACTTGTGCGCATGGTGTGTATGTGAATGGGTTAGTTCAGAAACCGAAAACAAAAGGGGATGGTATATATATATATATATATAAAGCGTCTAGGTTGAGCAGTCCTTTATTAGGGATTATTGTTTTATTTTCCGGATGACACCACTGATCAAACAAAATTATCATTATTTAAATCCCTCATTATTATCACCTTAAGAGTTTTACGCGTTCCATTCATATTTTACCGGCCTATACCTTTAGGTCGTCGACTGGATAACGATTGAGTTGGATGCTTTTGACTCTTTAGGCGAGCATAATTTACACAGGGGTTTAACAATGAATGTAGATGTGCAAAAGCGTTGCATTCCTGAGGACGACATTCACCAATCGACACTGTAACATATTCCAACAGAAACAGAATTTCGATCTATCAAGTTTTACTCATTTTCTAGACAAAATTCAGTAAATTATCATGATCCTAACCACCAGCATCGTCGACCACTACTTTAATACCGTCAAAACGTTACTATCTGAGGTTAGCGAATACTTGATGTGAAAAGAATGAGATGCTAAAGCCAGGGACTGTACAGCGCACTACTAACACGGCTACTTCTACATGTGCATCAACCCCCGAGCAGTTCAGATGACCCATTTGAAAACCGGAAACATAAATGTCACTATGGCATACTTGTAGACACACTTTTCTGCTGTCTTTCAGAAGCGGCTTCTAGTGCCGCGCTGGGATTCATACTTTTGTATCTTTGAAAATTTCTTCGAAAATGCAATTGAATTGTTCATGCTTTACCATGTTTGCAGCAGGTCCCACTGTCACTTTATTTGTTCCAGGAATCATCGCGGATATGTAACAACGAATAACTTCAGACAACTGGTCACAATGTTTGACTTTAGTATAAGTCCCGCTGGAATCGATGCTATTATTGCTCGTCACGCGAACGATGATGGATTTGATTATCGCGGGTTTCTCGAGGTGCTTGACCCACCTTCTCCAGAAGAAATCGAATACAAGTATCCCGAAAGATTGAAGACTTTGCAAATGACAAATATTCTCGGAAAAAAGAGACTAGAAATGGAACCTGTTTTAAGGGATACTGAAGGAGTCCTGGATCAGATCAAGGCGGAAGTACGTTGAAAAAACCTGGCTTCTGGGTTCCAACCTTCGAATTGTCCTTTAGGATGTATTTGTAATTTTAGAATTCCGTTAGACTATTCTGCATACAGCATGCTATTTTAAGGGGAAGATACACTCATGTAAACAGGGTTTTTAAAAATATCTACGTAACGCAACACGGGAAGCCTGGCCCGAGAAATTGAAGAATGCGAGAGTTGTAAAAATAAGTTGTGAAATCCACGATAATCTTGTGCAAACTTTCCACGATATGAAAGACTACCGTTGGGCCCTGCGTATTACTTGCGGGACCCTCTGAAAAGTTTGACAGATTACTTGCTTTGTGGGACTATGGACAGCATCATTCAAATGATAATTAATCATATCAGTGTAAGAATAAAACATTGCAGTTCAGCATTGGTATGATTTAGTCATGTTTGACTGCTTAGTTGCATAGCTCTCTACAATCTATTCGATACGTTGATTGATTATACCGGCATACTACTAAAACGTCATACATAACTGATAATACCATTATGCTATTCATCAAAAAGACTAAACTTCGCGTCTTTTTTAAATAGTACCTTTCCCACCTGAGAGCAATAGTATGCCATAACTGACAGTTACTAAAGATTCCAGAGTGCTTTTTGGGGAGAAACGACTTTTCCAATAGAGGTGTTTAATCCTCAGATCACTCCGCTATTCCAATGAATTTTCGCTTATAACGGTATTCTTCAGGTTTACCGTCGTCGAATTCGACTTTCTGACTGGTTCAGAGATCACGATAAACTTAACCACGGATATATGCCGAGGTCAACTTTCAGGCGGTGCCTTGGTGTGCTGCCACTGTCCATAGGCGAAACTGCCATGAATATGGTAGAAGACCGGTAAGTAAGCATAAATCTGTAAGTATACGTAATATATTATTATTACTATACATATCATAATATATATAAGCAAATAAGCGGAACATCAAAGGGTGAACGAAATATGGAGACCTTAAAACAGCAATTTCATGCGGATAAATTTTGGCCCCTAAAAAGTTCGGATGTGTTTTTCAAAAGCAAAAGTTTCCAACGAACAATTTGAACATTCAGTGGGAAGCGTTCAGTAGTTGAGTATTTTTGAAGCGTTGGTTCTACTTAAAAACTAAGTGCAACATACTTATTCGGCCATTCACATCAGTGTGAAACGAGTTCGTTTGGACACTCGAATTGTTTACCGATGTTTTTTGTACAGCGCAGTTTTGTCAAATGGCAGACGAGAAAGCCAAGAGAACGCTCACGTGTTTACTTTCGCCAATTCGAGGTCTTCAAAGTGTACCCTCACAAATCACTGAACAGCCTTAAGGTCTGCTTAATGCAGACTCTGGATCGGCTAGAGGTCAATCAAAGGAGTGCAATGAGAAGCATGACGAAAATGTCGGCCGAATTTGTCATGAAAGGTTTCTCAGGTTAGAAAGTAATCTCGCTTTAATATAGTATGGTGCCAAAGCGCCCAAGAAATGGAGGAATAGTGCGTGTTCCCCATCTGTATGTCGAGATTCATTTCCCAAAGTAAACCTTCCTTACTACTGTCTGGCAGTAAGCAGTAGTATAGTGTCATTGACAGTTTTGATCTTAGTAAAGCAGCTATCCAGTATGTGAATGCACTAAACAGATGTCGGTTATGAAAACTGAGTGTAATAAAAGAGTATTTAACTGTTCACATCTCTGGAAGAGAAAGTGGGGGGGGAGCAGTGTCTCCCGTTTTCGATGGTATAAACTTCTATCGTCCATAATCGTGCGCAAAACGTACACACCAATACTGTATTGTCCTGCATTCATTCTTAATATTAGTCCAGAAAGAACTGTGGATTTCAGTGAAACTCAGAAGAAAACACTCTGTGTACTGGATGGTCATTTTATCCAGGGACAACATACCCTGATGAGTTTCTCCCCGTGGACTAGATTCTTACATAACTAAATCCCTAGATTAACTCCGCGATTTAGAGACCACCGCTGAAAATAGGAGAGATCTTCATCGATTTGTTTACTGGATAACGCCAACTAAATAGTTACAGACTATTGGACAGGAGAGTAAAACTCTCATATGCACCATGTTTTTCAAAAATTGAACATCCGACGTCTTGAACGCGTCTTCTTGAACTTTCCTGGATATTCATTGACTATCACAATGTAAACGAATGTACAATGCAGTTCCAAAACTTCCGTAATAAATCCCACCTTCCATCAGACGCGGGGCGGAGTCACGAGAAGAAACCACATAATACTCGTATGCCTCATCAGTAATAGTCACAGTTACATCATGGTCATTATTGTAGACCAGGGTACTATAGCAATCGTACTATAAGATGCTGCGCATGAGAAACACTGGGAAGGTGATTTTCCCATATATTCAGTAAAAGCTTCCCCTCCTTATGACTGCTTTGTCACGAGAGTTGTCCGTCAGCTCATTTCGGTTCAAAAGATGTAAGGTAACGTTCGAATGTTCTCTTTAGTGGATTTTGAATGAAATGTCTTAGAGTGCCCCGCGCTCGATTGCTGCTGGTACTTGCACACCAGAATAGAGGTTTGAAGGATATTTTCGTTCTGAAAAAAGCCCGATAATAGAGCTTACATGAAGACTAATAGCGCCAAATCTGACACCCGTGTTAACAAAATCTCACAGTGCATTTAAGTGCTTAACACAAAATTCGTCTGCTTTATTGTTCATGTAAAGAATCTCGACTGAACTTCGCACTGTTTGCATACCTGATCAGCCACAGATATGAAAAGATCTTTGGTTGTTCTACGCCCAGTTTCCATCCACCTAACATCAGGGAAGTCCTTGTAAACCTTGAAAATTAATTCAACCAAAACATTGGACAGTTGTTTTCCGCACGTTCGCTTGAAGACGGTAGAAATTCCCTTAGTCCCACCTCCCGGTTGTTTGAAGAGACCAATAACTATTTGCCCTCAAAACAGCGTCCTTGTCAGTCGTGATTACCAAAACTGATCCAACCATTGTAGATACAAGGGTTCTCAACCGGAAACAATTGACTGGCGTGCCTTTTGTGCAGAAATTGAACAAGTGTTTCAAACGCCAGATTTGGAGAGAAACCCTCTTAAGGAACCAGAAGTCTATGTACCCGATGCCCCGGTAGCTCAAAACCATTTGTCACTGGACGTGGCTAAGTTAGCTGACGGTGCGATCGTGAAGGTGGCAGATAAAGTGAGTTGACTACGATATGCTTGAACTTGTGACTCGCTGTTTTCTACAAGCTACAGTTTTGAGCTGTTTTCTCAGTATGTGATTAGCCACAGTTGGTAACCTGAAAACAGACAAAGCAAGATCATTACCTCAGAGAATGGAAAAGTTTGCCACATTTTTCAAATTTTTTTTTCAAATTTTCATCTCATGGGATGGAAGCAGAAGTTCTGGGGTCAGTGAAGCAACATAAAAACCTAAAAGAATAGTACATGGGTCAGCATAACAATGCTTCCAAGCAAAAAAACCATGAGTGAAACAACACTTTTAATGGTTATCCTCGCATCAGTGTAGCCAAAGCTGACTTTGGTCGTGCGTGACTTTCCAGGGGCGGTTATACGTTAGCTCACGCTTTTTTAGTCTCCCCGAAATACAATCTGACTGTTCCAGTCCTGAAACGCCCTTGTGCGCTACTACCCTCCTTTTTTTCAGGTGCGTCAGCGTCGTCTCCAGCTGCTGCCTCTCTTTAGCGATTTTGACGAGACACATCGCATGACAGTCAGTCAGATGCAATTCCGACGTGTGCTAATGACGTTGGATTTGGCAGACATGCTGAGTGAGAGGGAATGGTCTAGTCTATACTGCAAATATCGACATCCGTTGGGGGTCGTTGACAATATCAACTATCTGGCATTCATCGATGACGTCTACACCGCAGCTGGGATGGACCCAAGAATGCCTTAGGAAAAACAACCTTTCGAATGGCTGACTCGCTAAATAGAGACACAATTATTTGAAAATACATATTTGACACATCAAAGCACTGTTTTAAAACATACGCCTGCAGGACAAGGACCATCCACAATGAGAAGGCAGTTCGGAGTGCTTTGGAGTTTAGTTCGCAAAATAAAGGACTAGGTGCAAACACAAATACCAACCACGTTGTGCTACATCTTTCAGCTCTCCTTTGATTCAGTTATCTTCTCTGGTAAATTCTTGTTTTATTAAAGAGTCTTTCAGAAAGCTAGCATGCTCTTCATGTAATTAACTTCTCCGAACCAGCTGAAGGGATCAAAAGATGTGGAACTTTAATCGCAGTTATTGCTTTTCATGCTTACGACTAAACTTGTTAATTCATGTAATAATCCCACAAAAGCGATTTAGAGCATCTTCAGTCAGCTTGACTTTTTGGTAGTTCGTTGAGGCCATAGTAGCTGTCGTATGGAATGGTGCTGTACGATTTCTGGCGTATCATACCGTACTTCCTGAGATGTATAGAGCACTGCAAACGGTTCGGTCCCATTTATTCGGTATTCTTCCGTAATATGCACGAAAATTCCCTCGGTTATCGCGCAATTTGTGGATACACTTTCTTCAGGTTGAGGTTAATTTTCTATTACATACAGTCGCCTTGAAATTTCACTTTAGTCGTACCCAATGCAGGTTTTGGATAGCATGCTGATCAGAGCGGCAACCTTTAAATATTTGAGTCAAAATCTTGTTGTGTTTGATATAAATCTGTGTGCTGTGATACTGAGTAACAGTGTACGGCGCTTGTCAGGGCAATGAGTCTGTTGCACTTCTGAATAGTTCGGGAATCGGTTTTGTTTGCAGATTTACAGTTTACGTTTCTTTAATTTACGTCAGGACTACCCATACTAGCAATAGCTCATGGACCATGCTGCAATTGAACCTCTTCAAAACCCCGGGCTCAGCACGAGTGTGGCACCGTTTCGTTACACAATGAAGGTTGTTCTTTGGCCGTTATTACATGTAACTTAACCCAATGCAGCATGTGAAACATCTTTAGCACATTGGGTATCCTTATTTTCATGGGCTTATTCTTCTGGAAGTGCGGATTTATCCTACTCTCTAGGTGTATCTTTTACACTGTCTGTCTTCCCCAGCACGCTTGACCTCCTCAATGAGCACCACGCGAAGGGTGGAACAGTGTCAGAGGCGGTCAACCAATGACTTGGCAGCGAAGTATGAAAACCATTACCAGCAAACTCAGCTGCGCTGGTCACTGCCGTCTTCCTGGATGGGGACCCCGAGACGGGCCACATCAATGGCTAGAGACATTGTCAGATATGGCCCAGTCGCGCCCTCAATGGCGCTCGTGCATCCAAGCTATTGCCTTCAATGCATAGCTCCTTTTCCAACCCCCTCACCACTTGACAGCCCATTAACAGAGCTGGATTTATGCACCAATTTATCAGCTCCTGCCTGCAACGCGCAGCTACCTACACCTCCCCCCAAACCATCGGCGAACGAAACTGCGGCAGCTACAACCACAGCACGACGAGTACGCGGTTATTACAGCTGACAATGATGAATGGTGATGATGAGCACTGCACATTCCTACCCATCATGTGTACCCGTGAAGCTAGAGAATTAGGCGATGGCAGGCAAACCACCCAAATAAAACGAGCTGGCCCCAAAAATGCCTCTACGCGCTCCGTTTGTTCACATAGTGCAGGAATCAATACATTCATTTTCCAATATGACTTTTCCATTTTAGGGGACATCTTAAACTTTCTGAGACGCCTGTACCGAGTGAACACGGCTTCACTTCACAATGTACAACAAGATTCCAGTGGAGGAATTTAAGTGCATACTTGTTCAGTCTATGTGTTGTCATCCAAGTTCAACCGTCATCAACTGAGTTTGTAAATACAGCTGGGGTTCAGTTCAATTTGTACATACTGTGCAGTATGATCATTATTCATTCGAAAAGCGGCGAAATTTGTCGCAACGTTACAAAAGAGGTATTTGCAAAGCACACAATACCCTATTATTATAACTGCTAGAGCTCCACTGTTTTTTCTCACCATAGTTCTTTCTGTGGGATTTTCATCCAAATGTTTGGTGACTGATCAAGACCAATCAGTTCCGTCATTCGTTAAGATACTGTAAGCTGTGGTGAACCTTTGTGGTGGAAGTCAGTGTTCGGCCTACCTGCAGTATGTCATGAGTTAAAACACCTGACAAAACAGTATTGAGGCTGCTCTGCTAAAATTCTTCCGGAAAGCCGGTCAAATGATATACCTATTTTAATTGCTAGTCTGTTATTCGTACTAACTGAATTCGAGGCCAGGGGACCTCTTCGTTTCATAGTAAAGGCAGCTGAAACTTGAGGAAGCGGTACCATTTGTGGCGATTTTCGATAGAAAATACCAGACGATGCGAAACTAGTCAACCCGCCAACTCTGCAACACAAATGGCTGACAACAGCTCCTGGTTCCGTGCTAACTGCCGTTCATTGTTTGTCCATCCGTGAAGCTGCACTACTGTACACGACCCACTAATCGATAGTTTATCGGATATTTCAATCATCTGCCGGATTATGAGATGGTGAAACATTTCAGCAAGGAACTATCTATGTAGTTCACGGGATTTCCAAGGCAAACTACACAATCGTCTGACGAAAGACTTCTTAACCCTGTGGAATTATCGCTTGAGTAACTGTGAGATAGAAATGGTGCGCAATGTGCCAATGTTTGTTGTCGAATTTCGAACAGATGATTGACTTTTCATCGAGAAATTTTCGCAATCAGCACGCTTCGAGCGAAATTAACTGACGTTCCATGAAATGAAAGAGTGCTAAAAAGGTCCGTCCAGGTTTAGTAAGATGGGAAACCTGGTGGTAATAACAGAAGCCTAGGTTGAATGTGAGAACGACTGACTAGAATCAGCATGTAGCCTGATAATACGTCGAGTCAAGCATTGCTCAGTTCATCTAACTGAACTAGATGCCGTTCTATCGTGAGATGACTCATGCACAAATGCCCTTGAGTTGTAAACTCACAGGTTGCTTGGAGATAGATCACGGTTAAGCCCACAGAGGGGTAAGAAAACAATGGATACTATAAAGGAATGCTGACTTTTTATTCCACCAAAACGTCGCCCTGGGACATGGAAAAATTGCCAGCTGGGTGCGCAAGCTTGCATAAATCATTACACTAAAGCCCAGAATGGAACAATTGCCGTGATCCGTTCTATGCCAGCTGAAGCATTTCGCCATTCTTGATAGTCTCTGTCCTTCCAGTTTCGACTTATTGGTTCGAATATTTCAGTGTCACATAACTGCAGTTGTTTGCGTGGACTGGCCCAGAAACCGTCGATTGAGTTCACTAATGAAGCTAAATTGCCTACCAGAAAAACATGGAGCACCCACCAATAGTGTACCAAGACAAGTGAGTTTTACTGTTTCATGGCTGCTTGTGTCACTCGACCATTTCACTGAAGGTCTCACATGACCGCGGCACGCCAGAAAACTTGTAAAGTTCCACCTCGGGATTTAAACCACAATAACGTAAGCACATTTCGTGGCTCAATCGTCTGTATCAGTAGAACTTGCCGCGTAGGTTTCGGCCGGTTCATGCAATTGCAGATTTCCGTTTCGAAGCACGAGCAACGGAAATATTCATATCTCAAATATTTGAGGAGCTTTCGGGGTTCAACCATTTCCTAAAGTGTCAGCATATATAACCCTTCTCTAGTGAAGTAAGATGCTCCGCATCATTTCTCCACCCACTAGTATTGAGCTTCGTATCCAAACATCCTCCACAATGAAGTACTTGAAATTAATGAAGGCATGCAACACTAATGGCCTGTTCGCACTGAATAATCTTCACCGAATATGACGACTGGCATTTTCGCACATTCAGAGTCATAATACTGCGTGTGCGCCGTAACCTGATCTTCATTTTTAGATCACTCGCTTCTGTATTTCCCAATCCGCTCCGTACAATCTCCTTATCCCGCTGAAGCACGTTTTAAGATGTAGTGAAAAAGTTAGGATTATTATTGTCGACTTCTTCGTCAGTAGGCAAATTAACGTTTGTCGGGTTTTCCTCGGAGAACCTACGTCTTCCCAAGGTCATTTGCACTTCCAACACTGGGTCGAAATACGGAACAATCTTTTCCTGTACCGCTACTCCCTGTTATTTCGTGAGCTGTTTTATGGCTCAATAATTTCTTAACAGTGCCTTTCTGGTCTGGGACGAGATAACTCATGTGGATGGAGCACGAATTTACCGACCGAAATGTCCGTGGTTTTAAATCCGACCGATTCTAGGCTTGGGCAACCAAGCAGCATCTCAGCACTCGTGCTTCCTTCAGGTGACATGGCAGCTAGGCACCGCAAGAGAGTTACGGCTAAACGATGAATGACGTAATA